GTCTTCCTTCCCCTCCCCACCTTCCCTCTCCCCCCGCCGCGGCTGTCCAGCTGGAACTCAGCTGCGGGGCGGCACTTCCAGGTGACTGAGAGGCGCAGCCTGGCTGGGAGCAGACCGCTTCCCCCAGGGCCTCTGTGCTCCTGAGGACTGTCCTCACAGAGGGTTTGACCTTAGGCAACCTCAAATCGTGGTTGTCACCAAACCTCAAAGGGTGACGTGAGCCTTAAATGTGGTCTCGCATCCGAAAGCATGTTGTGGACTGCAGCGCAGTGCTGTTACTCTCAGTTTAATAAAGTTTTCAATGAATTTAGCTCAAAGGACAACAACCTGAAATGGAATGGTTGTTTTCAAGATTAAGTTTTGAAACTCTAGCAAAGAGTCCAATGAGAGTTAGCTCATTCATTTGTCAAAGATAAGAGCAGTATTTTCATCTATTCTTTCTCTGATTTGACTTTGAAAAAACGAGTCTGAACTTTTTAACAATTCCGAGTGAATTGTGTGGTCCCTGTTTTCTCCACGAGCTCTGTAAGGCATCTTTATTGCTATTTCTTTACATTGAGAAACTGAGATTGAAGGACGATAAGAAATTGGCTGAAAGTCAATCAGTAAATTGGTAAATGTTGGAACCATAATAGAATCCAGTTCTGGGTAACTTGAAAGCCTGTGATTTTTGCACATTATGACCTTATGTTTTCCATTATTCCCATCCTTTGGTCACCAAATAACTTTACTTTCAGTGAAGAGGCTTGGGGTCTATGACAGTTGCTTATGGTATCAGTGCCCATCTCTAGCTGTTGTCATTCTTCTATATAAACAGTGATTTTTACTGCTCAAGAGGGAACCTCTCAAGGTGCTTCTAAAACACGACTCCAGCTGGAGGGTGCTTTGTAAACTATTCAAAGTCAGGATGAATACAGACTCAAAGGAGGTTTTGCCCATGGATGTACATGGTCCTGAGGCTTGGGAAGAACTGACCGTGAAGGTGGAGACGGAAAGTCGCCTCCAGATGCAGGAATCCAGACTGAAACGTAGCAGTCCCCTGGCGAGGGAAGTCTTCCGAACGCGCTTTCGACAGCTGTGTTACCAGGAAACTCCTGGACCCAGGGAGGCCCTCACCCAGCTCCGTGAGCTGTGCCGCCAGTGGTTGAGGCCTCATGCCAGCACGAAGGAGCAGATCCTGGAGCTGCTGGTGCTGGAGCAGTTCCTGACCATCCTGCCCAAGGAGCTCCAGGCCTGGGTGCGGGAGCACTGTCCAGAGAGCGGGGAAGAGGCTGTGATTCTGCTGGAGGATCTGGAGAAGGAGCTCGATGAGCCACAACTTGAGGTAGGAAGGGAGATTTGCAGGGAAGAAGTGTATGTGTGTCATCAAGGACCCTTGGATCCCTTGTTTTGTATCCCCTTGACTGACTCTGACCCTGACTCTGCTTCCTGCTGCCTTCTGGGAAGGGTTTCTTTAGACAGTTAACTTCTTCAGAAGTCAAATGTCACCTCTCTGTTTCCAGATGGTAGCCTACGGACAGGGACGAGAAGTCTGCTCTAGAGAGACGGTGCCTCTAGGCGAGCAGACATCACTGAGCCTTCAGTCCCAGCCCGAGGAGCCCCAGCTCCCTCGTGACACTGCCCAAGAGTCCCGCCCTACTGGAGAGACAGGTGAGGGATAGGATTTTTCTGGTGTTGAACACATCCCCTCTTGTCAAGCAAAAACAAATGAAAAGTCCAGACCTGGGGAACCAGGGGCTCAGAAGTCCCTTTACCAGGTAAGGTCAGCGCTACAGCTCCTCACTTTGTCCCCTTCCCTGCGTTCAGGCTTCCCCTGTGAACTATCCTGTCATCTCTCTGGTATTCTGGCACGTGGTACCTTAGGAAAACTTCCAGGAATCACCGTGGAGGGCAGCTTTAGAGAATGGGTACGATGCATTCAAATCATGGCTTTGCGTTTTAGAAGCTGCTTGTACGTGGGCAGGTTTATTTAACCATTTGGTCTCAGTTCCCTCATCTCCAAAATGGGGTTGATAATAGCATTGCCTTAGTTTGCTTGGGCTGTCGTAATAGAATGACACACACTGGGTGGCTGAAACAGAAATTCATTTGATCACAGTTCTTGAGGCTGGATCTCCAAGATCAAGATACGAGCAGGCTTGGTTTCTGGTGAGACCTGCCTTCCTGGGTTGTTGACGGCCACCTTCTCGCTTTGTTCTCACACATGCCTTTCTGTGTATACGTTCCTGTTGGAAGAGAGAAAGAAAGTTCTGATGCTGTTACCTCTTATAAGGACATTAGTCCTATTAGATTAGGGCCCCACTCTTTTTTTTTTTTAATTTTTTTTTTTAATGTTTATCTACTTTTTGAGAGAGAGATTGACAGAGTGTGAGCAGGGGAGGGGCAGAGAGAGAGAGAGGAAGACACAGAATCTGAAGCAGGCTCCAGGCTCCGAGCTGTCGGCACGGTGCCTGACGCGGGGCTCGAACCCACAAACCATGAGATCATGACCTGAGCTGAAGTCCGACGCTTCACCGACTGAGCCACCCAGGCGCCCCATTTAGGACCCCACTCTTAATTACCCTAATTAATTTCCTAAAAGGCCCCATTTTTAAATATAGTTAGGGCTTCAACATGTGACTCTAGGGGGAGGGAGACAACACAATTCAGTCTAACAAGTATGTACCATAGAAGGTAGTTGCGAGCACAGAACAGACAACTGATGGGAAGCACTTGGCAGGCATTTTGCTTAGTATGTGGTAGCTGTTCTTCCAGGTCCCCCTTGCCCATTTGGGCTTACGCTTGCAGTATAAAAGGGTGAGGAAGGGGTGGGGAACGCGCAGTGGGTGGCAGACTGGACGGGGGAATCCAGTGGAATCAGTCTGGCATCTCCTGGTGTGTCATTCAGTGGCGGGTGCAGGCCTGGGCGCTTGGGGCTGTGCCAGCTGTCGTCCTGTTCTCGCTCTCGCTGTCACAGCTGGCTCCGCTTCTGTCTGATGTCTCACCAGGACAGCGTAGCCTCTGCCGGACTATTTATTAACTTTCTAACAGTCAGTCTGCAGTGGCGTCTGCCGTTTGCATTTTCACTTCATCAAAGCCACAACTTCTCTTGCCTCTCTGCTTCCTGCCTCTATTTCGTCTACCCTAGCAGTCATGCAGTTATCATGGATTTCTGCCACTTGGAACATATCTCTTCATTTTAAAAGATTCTTTTTTTCTTAGTAAATGTGCTCTGCAGACCTTCCTCTGGCTCCGTGACCTCATCAGATTAAATTCCTCTGATTTCATTTTCCTCTTTTATGAGCATCTTCCCAGTCAATTCCTTTGTTTCTTCCTCCTCTCCGTGAACTTGGACTTTTTATTTTCCAGGCATGTTTCCCTTGCT